ACCCAGACCAGTGGTCATTCCGTATGTTGAGGGAGTATCAGAGAAACTGAGACGTTTATTTTCTAAACACAACGTCCCAGTGGCTTTTAAACCCCAAAATACATTAAAGACTGGTTCATCCCAAAGATCCAGTCCCCCGGCACAAGCAGAGTAATGTTGTGTATGTTGTTCAGTGTCAGAGGGCTGTGATCAGTCTTACATCAGGGAAACAAAACAGCCACTGGCCAAAAGGATGGACCAGCACAGAAGATCAACATCATCAGGCCAGGACTCTGAGGTCTACACTCATCTCCAGGCCAGCGGTCACTCTTTCAGGGATGAAGATGTTCACATCCTGGACAGAGAGGAACGATGGTTTGAGAGGGGAGTAAAGGAGGCCATCTTTGTGAAAAGAAACCGTCCATCATTAAACAGGGGTGGAGCCTCCGGGTTCAACTGTCCCCCTCTTACAATGCTGTGATTGCTAGTATCACTCAGCCCTCTGTGAACAGTAAACAGCCATCAGGTGCTAATGATCCATTGTTAGGCTGATGGTCCTTCTTGAGCATGTGATCAGCTGGTTCTGGTTGTCAGCAGCAAAACTGGTTGATCCACTCTGAGAAGGTGCTATTTAAGAGACTGAGCTGAATACAGCACCTCAGACTGAGGAAGTCTCTCGGATGAGAGACGAAACATTTCTACATTTTTTTGTTGTTTTGCTTTTTGTTTTTTTGAATGTCAAGAGGACCAGATTGAACGTTTTTTAGATGTACTTGGTATATTTGAAAACAAACAAATATAAAATTTTTTTTAAGCTTGATTTTTTTTTCTCAAAAGCTTTTGTCACCTTATATGTCTTCTAGACACCAAATGATTTAACGACTTAGAGTTTGCATAAGTGCTGTCAGTAGCTGATTTGTGAATTCTTTTGTTTGATTTATGATTTAGGTTAAAATGCTTCTGGGGCACCGAGTTATCCAGGTAGCTTGTGGCAGCAGGGACGCTCAAACTCTAGCTCTCACTGATGAAGGTAATTCTGTTACTGTACATGTTGCACCCATGTGAAGTTTTTAACCAAATGTCTATTTATCCATTTTCGATACCTCTTTTCCATTCTGGGTCAGGAAGGAGCCAATCCATAACTCTACCAGTCTCTGTGCGAAATGTGGGGCACACTCTGGACAGGTCTCCAATCCATCACAGGGCCATGTAGAGCCATGTTTCTTTACATTTTTTGTAGCATTTGAGGGTTTGCTAGGGGAGCCATGGCCAGAAGCTTGCTTTTTTTTTTGGGGGGGGGGGGGGGGGGGGGGGAGGGGAGAGAGGGG